GAAGGTGGGGGATGGGGAAGGTGGGGGATGGGGAAGGTGGGGGATGGAGAAGGTGGGGGATGGGGAGGATGGGGATGAGGAAGGTGGGGAATGGGGAAGGTGGAGGATGAGGGTTTTGCCACATTGGCCAGGCTGGTCTCTAACTCCCAGCCTCAAATGAGTCTCCTGCCTCTGCCTCCCAAAGTGCTGGGATTACAGGCATGAGCCACTCTGCCTGTAACACAGCGACTCTTGCCGCTGTAACACATTACCACAATCTGGGTGGCTTAAAATGTATTTTCTTCCCATTCTGGAGGTCAGAAGCCTACAGTCAAGGTGTCAGCAGGAGGCCAGGCCCAGTGGCTTATTCCTATAATCCCAGTGCTTTGGAAGGCTGAGGCAGGTGGATCACTTGAGGTCCACACTTTGAGAGCAGCTTGGCCGACATGGTGAGACCCAGTCCCTACTAAAAATACAAAGGTTAGCTGGGTGTGGTGGCAGGTACTCGGGAGGCTGAGGCACGACAATCGCTTGAACCCTGGAGGCGAAGGCTGCCTTGAGCCTAGATAGCGCCACCGCACTCCAGCCTGGGCCGTGGAGTGAAACTCAAAAAACAAACACACAGACAAAAACAAAACAAAAAATGGTGTCAGCAGCGCTGGCTTCTCTGAAGACTCATTCTGGTTTCCTTCCCTTTTCCTGCCTCCAGAGGGCGCCTGCGTTTCCTGGCTCGAGATCTATCCGTTCTGGAATCACTCTGCTCTCCTGCCTCCCTCTCAGAAGGACCCTTATGGTCACATCAAGCCCACCCAAATCATCAGGACCATCTCCCCCTCCCCAAATCCTTCACTTAACCACGTTTGCAAAGTCCCTTTGGCCATGTAAAGTCACATATTAATGGGTTCATGGGGAGTTGGACGGGCACACCCTTGGGGGAGCATTATTCAGCCTACGGGGTAGGGGTTGGCGCCTGGCCCTTTCAAGCCCCTTTGGCTTTGAGAAATAAGCATGTGAGACTTGCTTTTGCAGGTGCAATAAAGGTGTCTGCAAGAACTGTTTACTGCGTCAGTCAGTGTCACCAATGTAGCTCTCACCTGAAAGTCTTCGTGTTCAGGGCGCCACCTGAAGACTCGGTGGAACTCTCTCCTCTCTGATGAGAAGTCCGGGCCTCTGGTGTGGCAGCTTTCTCCCGTCCAGGAGGCATGCATTCTCCTCTTCTTGAATTCCGTTTTCCAACTTCCAATTTCCAACACATACAGGGTTAGGTTACATGTGGGAAAAGCCCGTGGGACCTTCCCCTGGTGGGTGCCACCCCTTATAACAGAGAAAGCTCCTAGTAGTTGTAGCTGCCTAATGAACGCTTAACCTCTGCCTTCCAATTTATTGGCGCTCCCATACAGATATGTGACTTTGCACTAGAGATCTGATATATGTATGTGTGTGTGCATATATATATATATATATTTTTTTTTTTTTTTTTGAGACAGAGTCTCACTCTGTCTCTGTCACCCAGGCTGGAGTGCAGTGGTGCGATCTCAGCTCACTGCAACCTCCACTGCAAAACCCCACCCGAAGATACCATTTCTACCCAGGCCAGGAAGAGGCCGTGGTGAGATGATGACTAGGAAGGAGGGTTAAGAAGGAGAGTTGTGTGGGGCAAGAATGAAAGCTCATGGCCGCATTCCTCAGGATAGAACTGCTGGGGGCATCTGTAGGTCCTGGGCAGAATGTCATGACCACCAAGGAGGAGGCAGAGGTGTTAACGGAGTCTAAAAATGAAAAGGGTAATTGGGTGAAACTCCGTCTCAAAAAAAAAAAAAAAAAAAGAAAAGGGTAATTGGAGCAGGACCTAGTCTGGTTCAGGACTGTAAGGAGAAAGAACAGAATGAACTCAAAAGAAACAGAGGCAGGACAGGCTGTCTCACATGGCCTGAAAGGGAGCAGTGAGGGCTGGGGCTGTGTGTGGTGGCTTCTGGTGCTTCTGGCACAACTCCACAGAGTGCCACTCGCCGGGGGACTGTCATAAAAATTCAATTTTATGGCACATGCTTTTTTTTTCTTTCCAACTTTTATTTTAGGCTCAAGAGGTACACGTGCAGGTAAATTGCGTGTCAAAGGGGCTTGGTGTATAGATAATTTTGTCACCCAGGTAATCAGTATCATATCCTATAGGTAGCTTTTCAATCCTTACCCTCTCTTCCCACCCTCCGCCCCCAAGTAGGCCCCAGAGTATATTGTTCCCTTCTTCGTGGCCATGTGTACTCAGCATTTAGCTCCCATTTGTAAGTGAGAACATGTGGTATTTGGTTTTCTGTTCCTGTGCTGATTTGCTTAGTATAAGGCCTCTAGCTGCACCCATGTTGCTACAAAGGACATTATTTCATTTGTTTTATGGCTGCATAGCATTCCATGGTGTATTTGTACCACATTTTCCTTATCCAGTTCACTGCTAGTGGGCATCTAGGTTGCTTCCATGTTTTTGCCCCAGGCAGAGGATATCTCAAGATATCTCAGGAGTTCGAGACCACCCTGGGCAACATGGCAAAACTCGTCTCTATAAAAAATACAAAAATTAGCTAGGCATGATAGAGCACACCTGTAGTTTCAGCTAATCAGGAGGCTGGGGTGGGAGGATCACCTGAGCCCAGGAAATCCAGGCTGCAGTGAGCCAAGATGGTGCCACTGCACTCCAGCCTGGGCGACAAAGCCAGACCTGCCAAAAAAAAAAAAAAAAAAAAGAAATAGAGTTGTTGAAATATTTTTTCCATTTCTGATACAGAAATGTAAGTGCTCTTTTCAGTAACAATATCTACTGGTAGCTCAGTAACTGCCATATTTCAAAGTAATGATGAGCATAAAAGGTGCTTTGTGATATCTGCTACAACTGAAATATGATATGAAAATATCTGTGATTTCCACTGGTGATAAAGTCCACCTATAGGCAACATTACTGTGACTCATGGCCCACATTTATACCAGAAAGAAACTAAATTTCTGTTAGAGGTTGATGAAAATAACAATGTGATTTCTTTTCCCACCCAAGTTCCCGCACTCCTTAACTATTATCCATTGAACCCAGGTTTGAAGACATAATAGTTTTGTTGAAATTATCTGAACTACACAATAAATTCTTCATGTTTATGAAAGATGAGAGATCATGTTAGCTTCATGTACTTGGCAAATGGAAGTTTTCCCAGTAGATACTAGAGAAATGACACCTACCCTCTGCTCCCCAAATGAAATACAAGTCCACTTCCTCCTGTATCCACAAGCTGTTTAGTAGCTTGACACATTCAGACTCTAGTAACCAATTCAGAATTTGAAAGGCAATAAAATAAAAGCATATTGGAAAACACAATTACTGGGCACTCTTTAGCTATTTCACATTGTAGCTATATAAATCCAGAACAGATTAAATATCTTTAATGGATTCCTCCCAATATTCTGAAATAGAACTTCATCAAGAAGAACTATAAAAAACAAACAAACAAAAAAAAAAACTCCAGAGTGATAGGGAAGAAGGGAAAATAAGCTAATATTTAATGTGACTCTGCAACATATAAGGCTTTTTTGCGTAATTATTTTACTTTATTCTCAAAAATACTCTGTAATTCAACATTCCTTTATGATAAAAAACTTTAAACTGAGAATAGAAGGAATCTTCCTTAATCTGATAGAGAGTGCCTACAGGAAGCATCATAGTGTTAAAATATTGGAAGCTTTTCCCTGAAATCTAGGATAAAACAGGGATGCCCACTATCACCACATCTATTTAACATTA